TGTGAACACATCTTTGCTTTTCGGTATTTGGATTGCACTGCTGGGGTCGAAATCATAGATAACAGTATACTCTACATGTCCACAAAAAGAACCCAAAACCGTATTCTAAGTATGAAGGCCCCTGTACTCCAGGGAGGCGGAAAGTTTGCAGCACCCAAGCTTCAGGTCGAGGGCTTTCGGGGATGTGAAACTTGAAGGATCCTTGGACTTGGTAACTAGGCTATAGCTTTCGGTACCTATAACCCCAATGAGCGTATATAGAACTTATGAGGGTTGTCCCTGGGGGTTTCCGGGAACTTCTTTGTGTTCAGGACTTCGGAGTTTGGAGTTTCAGGCTTGCTTTGGAATTTGAACCGGTGGGTGGGGTGGTGGGGTGCGGGGGGTGGCGGGGGGGGGGGAGGAATAACAACATGATGCTGCCGACATGATAATGACGACATGGTGATGCTAACATGATGATGACATGAGCAAGAGTTGATAAAAGATTCCATGCTCATGGCCTGATGCTGCTGACATGATCATGACATGAACAAGAGTTGATAAAGATGCCTTGATGCTGATGACGTGAACATGGCATGACACGATGTTCTCAAGTACTTCCTCGCACTCGCGCACGACAAAACCTCTAGTTTCCGCAGGTGTTCTTTCAGGCATCAACACAAGAAACCCCAAATTTTCAACAGAAATACAGCAAAGAAACATGACTATCGGGATTCTGTGTTTTTGTGGAGGTGTGCGAAGTGTTGCAAATACCAATGATTTCTATGCCTTCTTGAGAACACGCCATGAAACCCAGGGGTTTCGTGATGTTCAACAGTCTTACTCCGCAGTCCCACAACACAACACCTCGAGTTTTTGCATGTTTCACTGCTTCGAACGATGCCTGAGCCTGGCTAGACAACATGTTCCGAACAGCGTAGCTCCGATAGGCAAGTGCAGAATCACTGGTATTTGCGGTACTTTCGAGCTCTGCCAGCAACTTCTTCTGTTGTACTGCCCCATGGTCTCCAGGAACCCCCCAGGGACTTGCCACTTCTGACCTTGCTAAGTCCCGCGCTCCTCGAAGCAGGGTTTTGGGGTTGATCTGCGGAGATCCTGCCTTCAGCGCAGTCGTCATTTCCTGTCGGAGAGTCGTAAATGATTGAATTTTCCAACCAAAACAGACGTTTGTTGCAGCCTAGTACGGCACCGAGAGTCCTTTGCAACTGTCATCGTCGATTCCTTGGGCGTTTTCCCTCGATTCTGCCTGGTCCTGCCAGAGCCAACCTGGGGTTCGCGGGAGTTGAAGGCATCGCAGGAGGACATCCCACACCATAAATGCCCCGAAAAGCACTCAAACCGGACAGATGAGTCAAGGTTTGCGCAGCTGCGCAGCTTGTTAGAAGCTCGTGCTGCTGAAGCGCAGCCCATCAGGCATCGCAGTCTTCGTTTGGGCACGGCTGCCTGCTTTCACCTCGTTGATGGGTTCACGGGTTCGAAGGGTTTGAGGGTCTTCAACGCGAAAAGCTTCAAAGGTTTGATGGGAGGACCTACTCGAAAAAACATGGATATTCTCAGGGCCTTGATTCCTAACATGTGTTTTTGCAATTTTGGAACCAAAAGCTTGTAGAATCAGGTTGTGGGCTTAGACTTCCTGAAGCCTAACCCTGCTCTATGCCCAAGATGTTGGTAGCGCTGGAAGAGCTCAGAACCCAGGACTGCTCTGGTGCCGAGGCACCTTGGTTTGCTCTGCAGCTCATCCTTAAACAGTTGCCAGGCCACATCTGCTCCTTTTCCTCTTCTCCTTCTTCTATAGTAGAAGCCATAAAGTTGGAACATGATTATCCTCGTGCCATCCCGGTACAGTAGAAGGGATCCTAGCACAAATCATCTTAAATACATGTTCCAACTTTCTGGTTCGCTGTAGAGCTATAGACCTTAGGGCTTCGGATGTCTGGGTGACCCGGGCACTGCAATCGAGGTTGGAGCATCAACTGGGCTGGAAGTTGCGGCTGGAGCACCTGTTTGCCTGTGACATCGAGCCCGTGTCACAGGTTTTCGTTGCACAGAACTCGCGTCCGCACGCCCTCTTCGAGAATTTGCTCAATCGGGGTGAGATGGGGCACTGCCTGATTGCAGATGCACCGGTGGTGGTGCCCAACGATCTGGACATCTATGTTGCCGGCTTTCCATGCAAAGACTTTTCGCTACTCAACTCCAATCGCCCATGTTTGGAAGGTCCACATGCCGATACCTTCCATGGTGTAGTCAACTACATCCGTCAGCACGAGCCGGCAACTTACGTCCTGGAGAATGTAGTCGGTCTACTGTCAAGGAAGGACGGAGATGATGCTCCAATCTCTGACGTCATGAACATCTTGCGCGCTGTGCCCCAGTACGTGGTCCACTATTGGCGTGTCAACTCACTGGACTACCACCTGCCTCAGAACCGGGCGCGTGTGTACATTGTGGGCATCCACACAGGACGGGTCACGTTGCATCGGCCTTTGGCCAGGTGGGACCAGCTGGTCCACAAACTGGAGGAACAAGGCCATGTTGAGGTGCAAGATTTCATGCTGCCGGACTCTGAGGAAGAAGTCTCCTCGGCAAGGGGGCATCTTGAAGCAAAAGGTCCGCCGGAAGTATGCACAGGCAGATGGGCTGCTGCAAACGCGCAGCTTCGCCGGCAGCTGGGCTTTGAGAACACGGCAAAGCCACTGGTTCCCAAAGGCAGCGGCTGGTCGAGATACATCAGTGCTCGTCAGCAGGACGTCCTGGAGATCCAAGCTGCCCGAATTTTCCATAGGAAAACCAGCACCTCCGCGAAGCGGCGCTGTCCAGAAGAGCTGCAGGACGCAGAAGATCCCATGAACTCCAAGTTCTGCGCAGAGATTTCCAGAAGCGCTGCTTATGGCTCCTGTAGATGGCGATCAACGCCTTGCCTCACTCCAGGAAGTCGGGTCTGGGTGTTCAATCGACAGCGGTGGCTGCTGGGTCTAGCGACTTGACTTGCTCATGAAACCCTCGCCTAGACCATTTATAACTTAGCCCTTGAACTAAGCCAACTCCCCAGCCCCTACACCCTAACCCCCCAAACCCTACCCCCTAACTCAGGGGATTTAGTTCAAGTTATAGCAATGGTACTTATTTTTCATTTTCTTTACCCCCTAAACTTGCCCTAAACCCTGATGTAACCCTTTAATGGAACCCTACATTATGGTAACTTAGCTTGATCCCTTATCAAGAACCCTGGAGAAGAAGAGTTGAGGAGATGATGGCCCTTCAAGGCTTCCCTGCGGATGAGCTCAACCTCGAGGGCCCTCTGCTTTCATGGGTTTTGGCATCTTTTACAGGGTTTAGGGTTCAGGTTCGCCCTCAGTACGGGTTCAAAAAAGGGTTCGTGCGTAGTCCAGGTGTTTTAGGGCATATGCATAGTCGTCCAGGTGTCAAAAGGTTTTAGGGTTTATAGGGTCTATAGGGTTTAGGGCATCTTTTATGCAACTACGAGCCCTGAAGATTTCGTCCTCGACGCTGGAAACCCTGAACCCTCAAGCCCAAGCCCTTAACCTTAAATCCTTATATCATAAGGGCCCTTAGGGAGGTAGGGGGAAGCGGGTGGGGGGGGCCCTAATGCCCATAATAAGGACCTGATAAGGCCCATTTAAGGAAGAAAGGGCCCACCCCCCTCTTAGGGTCCCATGAGTATAATCCCGCGAAGAAACCCTAAACCACAAAATCCCCATAAGAATCTTCAGCAACGGAGGCTTGGAAGATCGGCACCTCGCTTTGCTGGCAGGCAATGCCATGTCAGTTCCCGTGGCTCGGGCCCTTGCATTATTTGCGGTCTGGGGTTCCTTAGATAGCGAACGGGGGAACTTTAAACTTTTTGGCCGTATATATTAGCTCTATCTTTGAAAGTTTGAACTTTTTGGGGCCCGGTTGTTGAAGAAGAGAGGTTCAAGGTTTAGGACTCATTGAAGTATATATAGTGGTTTTGGCGGTTAAGTTGCCAAAATCAGGGGTTTGAGAGGGCTTTGGGGTTTGAGTATAGGGGCTTGGTGTTAGAGGAATCTATAGTTCACTTATATATTTTCCTTATCAAGATAGCTAAACTATCTAAACTCCCTAGAGTAGAAGCCCAAACGTTGGAAACCCCATAGCCTCGCTCCTTAAGACTAGTGTATAAGGAATCCCAGCACTATTTGGCCTGAATCCGGTTTCCAACTTTATGGGGTTTATTGTACCCTGGTTCCTTTTTGGGGTTCATATGTAGAATCCTATAAGGTAATCCCAAAAAGGAACTACTAAGGGGCCAAATTTATGGGGTTTATTGTACTGGAACTAGATCTCAGGTGGTCGGCCTCTTCCTGTACCTGATCCTCGCCAACGTTTCCTTTCCGGAGCAGCCTGGCGGCTTGAAGCTTTGAAGATGCTGTTAATACAGTGGCCACAATAAGTACCTATGCTATTTTGGAGGTTCCTTATGATGAGTGTTGTAGAATGCGCCCCAAAACCCTATTCTAACTAATTATTAAGGCCCCTATATTTGGCGTCTGTCTGCACCACCTGTGGTGCCGGTTTTTATGCTTCTGAAGCGTCCGAACTAACTAACAACGCAGCTAGCATGGCTTCCTATGATTGCGGTTCTGGAGATAAAGTATAAGGGTTCGGATTGCAGCACCCACATCAGACCTGCCAAAGAACCCTCTTCCCCCGTTTAAACCCAAGACTAATACAGGGGCCTTAACAGTTAGAATAGGGTTTTCGGGCCCATCATACTATCACTATAATAAGGACCGGCCCAAAATAGTATAGGTAATTATTCTTAAGGCGCCCTTGTTAAAGCGCTGGCTTGCTCCAGGCGCACCTTATCAAGTCGCACTCCGTTCCTGACGTGACCGCACTTGTCAAGGCCGGGTCCTCTGACATCTCCAAGTCCAAGTGCCAAGAGGCCTGTTTGGCCTTGTCTCCGGTGAGGTAGCTCTTATAGACGGGGCACCCGAAGCCTGAACTCTGACCCGAATCAGCTTGAACCCTGACTTGGATGGACAGAAGATCTGGCTTTTGAATGGCAGCCGTGGCGATGCCATTCGATTTTTGGAACTTGCTGAGAATCAGCTTGACCAAATTCGAATCTTCGCTGGCAGCAATCGATGGCTAGTTAATTGCGCTCCGCTACTTGCACCCTTGTAGTTGCTGTGCGTGCATACCTTCGAAGAGGAGTAAACATCTGGACTAAACATCTATATGTGCACATCGTAGCTATGTAATCAACCACGCAAGCAAAAAAGACAGCAAACAAGCATGCATGCATCCGTACATGCAGATACTTATGCATGCATGCATGTCTGCGTGTGTGTGTGTGTGTGTGTGTGTGTGTGTGTGTGCAGCATGCATGCAGTTGTACCTGTATGTCCGTATGTCTGTCGATCGGTCTGTTTTTCTGCCTGTTTGGTTGTCTGTCTGTCTGTGTATGTATGTACGTATGTATGTGCGTATGTATGTATGAGGTGTGCACGTATGAGGTGTGTATTTGTGCATGTATGTGCGTATGTATGTATGTGTGTGTACACGTATACTTGCACATATGTTTGTGTATGTGTAAACGTATGTGATATATGCATGTATGCACGCATGCACACCGCATGCATGTATGCTTGCGTGTAGTATGCACGCAGGTGTATGCATGCATGTCGATCTGTCTGTCTGTCTGTCTGTCTGTCTGTCTGTCCGTGTTTCTTTCATTCTGTCTGTCTATCTGTGTGTCTGTCTGTCCGTGGGTCTGTTTGCATGCATGCATGCGTATGTGTTCGTGTCTGTATGCCCATGTACATATGTATGTGTGAGTATATGTGTCCATGTGTGTATGTGGATGTGTATGCATGCATGTGTATATATCCACGCATGGCTGCTTGCTTGTTTGCTTGCTTGCTTTTCGGCATGTAGGTATGTACGTATGTCTGTACGTAAGCTGGTACGCTGTGTGCAGGTATGCATCTGCATCTGCTGTTTCCTCATGCATTCAGCCTCATATCTGCCAGCTTAGCCAACACACACGCACACACACACACAACACACACACACACACACACACCAGTGTGTGTACAAACCTGGCTCTGTTTGTGTGGGCACATATTTTTTTATGTAAATAGGTTACTGGCATACCATGCAGACGGATGCGGGTTCCATCCGACTACTGCTAGTGGACAGTGCATTCGTTAATTCATTTTCCGCAGTGACTGCGCATGTGCGCCTGACGACTTTGCCAATCTTGCATCTTAGGGCGACCCTCAAATGGAGCTGTTTGGGTTACCCTTGTCCGTATCGTATGAAACTACAGGACAGCCAGAAACAGGTGCTGCGATTAAACAAACAGGTAGGGGTCTAGATAAATACTTCAGAAACCTCACCCGGCTGTGTTTTCCTGGGCCCCAAGCAAGCCCCACGGACTTGAACCAGGAAACCCTAAAGCCTAAAGTGTCCGGAGCAAAAGAGAGGCAGCGGACTTTCCGGCGCTCACATGACTAATTCGTTCGATGCAGCTTAAGGCCTAAGTTTCACATGTCACGCAGACGTCCGTTGCGCGACAAAAGCCCACAGTTGAGTAGACAAAAAGCCTTTAGTCAAACAGAATTTCTGAAAGTGTTAAGACCACGAACATATATATATATGTATATATATATACATATATATACATATATACACAAACATATATACATACACGCACACACATAATACTGCATTATATGGTAGTCGGATAGAGTGAGATAGAGAGATATAACAGATACACATAGTACACACGGCTTAAGCTTCACGGCGTTTCCAGCCTTCTGCCCGCTGCTGGAGACGCACACGGTAGCCGTAAAGCCCTAGCCCTCAATCGACTAAGACGTGAAAGAGAAAATCCAAGCACGGGACTTTTGACGGTATCGACTGGCTGCTTCGGTTTGTCTCATCCTGCGTACTTACCAAGGCAGAGGCCCACCCCTGCAGCGCCTGGAATAGGGTTCCCTTATAGTCCCTCAAGGCCCCACCATTCTCTCGATTTGGATCACCACACTCCTACTCCTGTCAACCCAGACGCAAACGCTGTATCCAGGTTAGGCTGTCAGCAGCTGCTCTTCATCAACCTGCTGTGGATGGCCTGGGCGTCGCCACCTCATTTAGCCTGATGGTTGCGAGCCTCGTTCCGGCTTGAGGTTTTAGCGGGCCGTCATGGTCATAAAATTCTACCACTGTGAGACGCCGTCACCACTGCCGCCTTAGGAACCCCGATCGATCATGTAAGTCAATGTTGTCGGCTTTAGGGCACCCCCCCCTGATCATCATAATTGACAAAGTTGAGGATGATGGTGATGATGACAAACATCATCAGCCTCGGCATCAGCATCATGATGGCTACTATTTCTGGTGCTGCTGCAGCTTGCTACCACTACTGCTGCTCTTCTACTTCTACTCCTACTCTTTCTCCTACTCTTACTCCTCACCCTCGTCCTGCTTCTACTCCCACTCCTACTCCCGCTACTCCTGCTTCTAGTGCTGCTAGATCTGCTTCGACTGCTACTCCTACTACTAAAATATTACTGTTGCTGCTACTACAAATACTATACGACGACGACTACCACGACTACGACTACGACTACTACTACTACTACTACCACTACTACTACTACTACTACTACTACTGCTGCTGCTACTACTACTACTACTACTACTGCTACTGCTACTACTACTACTACTACTACTACTACTACTGCTACTGCTACTGCTACTGCAACTGCTATTCCGCTGCTGCTGCCTGCTGCTATTGCTGCTACTACTGTTAGTACTCCACCTATTTATGGGGGCACGGCACTGTCAGTTGAACATCCTGCACCCGAGCAGCATTTGCATCAATCGGAAGGATCATGTTCCTCCTCCGGCATGCTAATGCTGTGTCAAGGTCTTGGATGCTTTCGGCGATCTCTTCCAAACGGACGTCTTCTCCGGACAAAAAGAAAGCCTTTCGGAAGCCCGGCTTATAACTGCTCGCTCGCCGTCAACATTCGGGGTGTTGAAGCCATGCGTTTGTTGATCGACTCCAACGGCTTTCTTCGAACGTTACCCTGAACTTTTTACCTGAAACCCTGCCTGGTTTGTCCGAGTGTGAGCGCCGAAACCTTGAGATCCTCGCCAAAGCTTATCCGAGAGTGAGTGCTGAAACCCTGAACCCGACATGTTGTGAGGGTTGGGCCTGAGCTCTCGCTTGGCCTCTCGAACCCAGAAAGGAGTGATAGCCTTGATGGTCTTACGCTGGGAGTAGTTGTTTAAATCTAGGTTCTCTAGAGGACTACTTTGTGATGTTGCTTTTCGAGGTTGGTGGCTCTGATGTCTAGCTCGTAGCTTGTGCGATTATGATATCTTTTCTTGTCGTCATTTGGTGGTGGTGGTGGTGGTGGTGGTGGTGGTGGTGGTGGTGGTGGTGGTGGTGGTGGTGGTGGTGGTGGTGGTGGTGAGTCGCGGTTGTGTTTATTTGCTGCAGGTGTTGTGACAATGGTGTCTGTGCAGTTGTTATGACTTTTTGTTGCTTATGTTTCGTTTGTTTGCTTGCTTCCTCATCTTCGTTGATGTAGTGCAGCAGCGTTTCTCGTTGTCTACTGGTTGCGATAACTGTGGCCCAGCTGCCACCACGTTTTTTTGTGAATCTTTTCCCAGGTCTCGATGTCGACGGTTTGACGTCGATGTTCGTGATGCTGGTTATGAGGATTGTGCCGGTGATGGTGGTGACGTGATAGATTCCTGTGGTAGGTTGAAGAGCCTTTCTTTAACCAAGAATTTCAGGAACAATCATGTCGGGAAACATGCATGGGCTCTGGAAGCACATGGCTCCCAGAAAGTCGTTTGACGTTTTCGGTTTTGTCATGATTTCCTTCCTCCAGGGTTTCGGCGCCGGTATCATTGGCATCATACAAACGATTGTTGCTGTATGATCTCCTACGTGTTGAGTCAACTGAGTCCGGTTTTCTGGACTCGTGTCAGCTCGAGGTGTTAAGTACTGCTGGTGCTACTCCTACCCAACTCCTACTCCTGCTCCTAGTCCTACTCCTGCTCCCTACTACTACTCCTACTACTACTACTACTACTACTACTACTGCTACTGCTACTGCTACTGCTACTGCTACTGCTACTGCTACTACCACTTCATACTACCAGTATCCGCAGTAGTGTTACTACATGTTATATACTACTATACCACCACTACTACATGTATGTGGCTGTTTGGTTCATAAGATGCTCTAAGCTTTCTTTGCCTTGCTACGAGCTCGATCCAGGATCGACGTAGTCTTCCTCATCGCCAGAGACCGAGAGTTTGCATTGGGTTTCTTGCTCCAGTCGTCCCTGTGTGCAAAGCCTCGCACCCAGGCTCACTTTCGGGTTTCAGAAGTGCGGGATGTGATAGAAACAAAAAGAGAGATGGACAGAGAGAGATGGAGAAGTAGACCCATGCTTCTGCTTCAGTGTGCATATGTGTGTATATATATATATATGCTTTGGCATTTGTATGTACGTACGTACATATGTATGTATGTGTACATACACCACATGATTGTTGAGGCTTCGGGGGACCGTGTGTAGGACTTCGTATATCCAGGATAAGGGTCCCCTAGTTCCTGAATCTCCCACTTAGCTTTCATACGCAACAACATCCTCATGAACCTTCAGCCAGTGTATGTGAACACTGGCTTCAAGCACAAGCAGACGAGAGTGCCTGCAGTGGTGCCAGCCTGAAAGTCTTGAAGAAGCAATACCGTAGTTTCAGAAGTTCAGAAAGAGTAGTCGCTGACGTCGTGATCACGACCATCAAAGTAGAGCCTGTCGAACAGGGGCCATTTGGAAGCCACGTGGGTGCACACTATAC